CATTATTTAAAGTAATTTTTTCCATTTTCGGACCAGATATTTGTTATATTGCCGATATCGCATTCGCTTCCTGTACGGGTGGTTTTGCTCTTTTAGCCCTGAAGAACACCTCAAGAAAGGCCGAAACATGAGCAAATGATTAAAAAGTGACTTATTGTCCCACATCTGCGTCTTTTTTCAGAATAAATTCAGAAGAATCCAATACAGAAATTGGAAATTTTTCAAATTTTGTCGGCATTCGAGAGAAAACCCTTTAAAAAATAATTTGAAAACTTAGAAATCTAGTATTTTTAATTAAAGAAAAATAGAGTTTGGTACCTTGTGAATCAGGGTTTATCAAATTAAATTTAATGATTTAAGTTTTTCGAAGTCACAATGTGATTGGAGAGTTATATGTGGTTACTATGAGTTAAACTCATAGTAACTAAACTCAAATTTCTTACTTATTTTTTTTGCCTAATTAATTTGAGTCAAGCTCAGAGCGGTAAAAAAGAAATTAAATATTTTCCTTCATTGTGCAAGTGCTTTCTTTGGATTCATTTTATTTGTGTTTGGTTTGAATGGGGAATAAGGGCGCTTTCTACATTCTTGCTTTTTTATATACCTACTCCTCAAGCTATAAAAATTATAGATATAAAAAATAGTTTAAGCCAGAAAATAACACAAAAATGCCAGTTTGTGCCGTAAGACGGCCTCCTGCTGAAGGTGTTCTGCAAGGTGACTTTGAAGCAGGACTTCGAACGATTTATGAAAACTTTGATTGGATTTTTCCTGCCATGCAAGTTCATTTATCTATAAACTATTTGTATTAAACTAAGGCAGTATTTTGTATATTTTCTTTCATTTAGAAATGACTTCCAGAAAACGTTTGCCAGTTCGCAAAATTGATTTTTTTAAATAATTTAAATCTATAAAACACCGAAAAAATGTATTGCTCTTCTGTGTATAGGAGACAGGTGTCCGCTTGTGAAGTGCGGATTGCTATTTAATTCTTACAAACAACACATTTATTCTGAAAATTGTATCTTGTTGCGCCGAAGAGTAGGATTTATATGCCATGATGTTATTTCCATTTAAATCAGGAGCAAAAAAATATTTTTTAAATTTCGTTTGAGATGTTTCGTATCTATTTATCGATTAATTACCAAATGTCCCTACAGGGCAAAGGCGGAAGAAATGCTCATGGAACACGGAGCATTATCAACCTTAAAGCCAAATGGCGATAAAACTGCTCAAATATTTTAAGATACCGCTTCTGTGGTGTGAAGCCAAATTCCATAACAGTTCTAGTTAATTTGCATTATGTTGTACCAATATTTTGGTTTGATTTATGGGTTCAATGTGAAAATGAAATATGATAAATGAAGTCGCATTCCGATATGCAATTTACAGCGGGATATCAAATAGGAGCACTGCAAACCTCCACAGCATTCAGACGTTCTGAATAATTAATAATCCGAGCAAAAAAGCTTTGTGTAGGTGTGACGTAGTATTTTCCGGTCATTTAACTTCTTTTTCCCGTTTGGACTAATACTAAAAAAATGCTAATAACCACAAAACAATACGAACAAACTTGAAATTACACTTCGTTTGATTTCAGTTAGTAAAAATTTACCAAAGATTTAAAAAAATACAGTAGTTTTTTGCCAAACATCAACTAGTAGCAAAAATGTTTCCTAATTGAATCATAAGGCAACTTAGGTGCCAAAATCAAGGCAGGTATGAGTATTTATCTCTACTCGCTACCTAATTTGGGATATTACAATTCATTGACAGGACAGGCCATTGTCCGGCCTTCTGTACGTTTATAAACAAAACCATATATTTCCTAGGAAGCATTCCTTTCTGAACAAGTAACACCAAATCAGTTTCGATTGACAATCCACTCGATTAATTTATACCTCAGATTTGCCAAATACGGTCTAGTTTTACTAGAATAATGATTAGAACATACCATTCCCAAGTTTGGTATCTTTGGCGTGCGCTTCCTCGTTCGTGTTATGCGTCATGGTATTCCTCTTTGTGTTTTAGATGGGAATACCGTGTTAAATTTGGGTTGGCTGATTCATTCCAATCGGTTATTGCAACTTTCTTCAATTTATTCGATTGATTCGTCTTATGGTTTACTTCTCCTGACTGAATTGCATTATTTGAAGAAAAAAATCGGTTGCAAGTAAATATAATATTGCACAATGTTTCGTTATGTAGAGAGCGACGCCTGCAGTAAAAGCAGTAAAAACAAATCTCACAAAATTTAAGGCATCTTAGTATATATAGAGCTTAACTACTTAAATCTTCAAAGCAAAATTCCACTTTAATTGAAATTTTTTTCACCTGCATTTTGTCTCTTAGCAAACCGTGGTTTATAAAGATAATATATTGGAATAAGACAAAGTATTCATTTTGACAGTAGCCTGCGTAAACCTTAAATAAATACCCATTCTAAAACCATAAACTTGAATTAAATTCCCTTGATTCGCATACAAGTTATAAACCGGACCTTATAATCTCAAGCATTATTATTATTTTGTTAGAAAGTCCCTCTTACATCCGCTAATTCTAAGGTAATAACGTTGCCTAGTTAATTAAAACTATATCTAACTAGCTCAGGCATGGAGCGGTGCAATTAAACTTTGAGAACTGCTCCTTATCTACTTAGTTTAATTTATGTTTGGGTAGGATAAACACGGTACAATAAAATGTCCATTTGGTGAGGACACAGTTGAAAGGTCAATTTTAGAACTTTTGTTATCGGCAAATGGAATTGGATATTTGGGCAAAATGTATTGCCCGGAATACAAATTTTTATATCAAATATTTTGGTCACGATTCGTCAGTATAAAACAGTTTTTTTGTTTTCTTGTCAGGTAAATTATGCAGTAAAACACTAGAAAAATAAAATAAACGCAAATTTAGCAAACAACACGAATTAGTTACCAATACCAATTTACCTACTGTATCCTTATGTAACCCCTAAGCWTTTYCTTCAAYTGCATTGCAAATGTAAATGCAAAAACAAGAAAAATGATTTATGTTAACAAAACTGTTCAGCCACAAACCTTAACTAGACCAAATAGTAAATAATTTACAGAAATTAATACAAGCTGATAGTTTCAGCGATGATTACAGCCTGAATAAATGACAATATTATAGTAGCTAAATGGAAAACATGGACAAAAATTTTTCATGCGTTTCACTGACAATTTCTTGCTTGGCTTTGCATTCTGATTGTTATCGTTATTGTCAATGTTGGGGGCACGATCAGCTTCGAAACAGCCGTTTTTTTCAACGTGTAATTTTCTAAATTTAATAATTTCTATACATTTCCGGGACCATTTTGGTGGCCGGTTGGTTTCTGTCGTTGCACCCCATTTACTTCTGTGTTGAGATTTTGTTTGCAGTTTCTTGACAATAGGTTTGATGATTTGTATGTAACAATTTTTTCAACTAAAATAAACAGGATATGTTAATCCTGGGGCTCTTTTTAYATTTTTTKAACCCCTGRAAAATTTTCCAGATKYACAATTTCCAATATTTCACATTAWGCAAATCTACTCCCACTAAGTCTTCTAATAGAAATACGTTTATAAAAATATATTATTTGYTAAATATGTGTYMTTTAYYMAMSTTGCTCTTATTAATATTCCCTAGTTCATCGTGCCGTATTCTTTTSCTATCAATAAATCAATAAAATATTSCGCTTTATTTATGAWAATCCCTGATCTATGTTTCAMTCTTTCATGTAAGTTTTAAAGAGATGAGCGAAATGTTTATTACTAAACGTTCGTTCWTAGAGAARCGCACTGAATGAAAACGGTTTATTAATTTGCTTTTCAAGTCCGTAAGTAGTTTCCATTAGTATAAACGTATTTCTTGTATTCCTTATTTAGGGTTGCAGCTCTGGATTTTATGATAACAGCATCATAATTCACGTTTTTTACTACAAATCTCACTTGAAAGCCTCTGTATTTTAGGTCTCCTTTAAAAGTTTTACATGTTAAATTTTTTATTGCCCTTTCGATCAATTTTTTTTTGCTTAGTGATTCATCACTACAATAATCGAATAATTCTAAATTATTGAAATTATTATGAAGCGCTGGCAAACTTCTCTTTCGTTCGATTCAGTTGACTAAAATTTAAAGAGCTTAAAGTTTAGATGCCTTTTTAATTAAGAAACTTTTTAATTAATCGTTGCTAAACTAAATCCTTTATTTAGTAAAATTTAATAAAAAATTTATCTTATTATCGAACTTTAGCAAATATGATTCGTTTTTCTTAGTAAATTATTTGTAAGCATTTCGTATTGTTTTCTGCATTATTTTGCATTAACGAGCAGATTGTCACGATTTATTTCAAATTTACTTTCAAAATGTCCAAAGCCTTTCTGCGCTCTTTCGCTTTATCCAAACGAGTTCTAGAAACAACCCTTATTGTGTTTAATCGTACTTTGATGGTTAATTATATTTTTGATGAAAATGGGCGCAATTGGCTGTATGTACACTATTTATGAATTTGTGGTTTGTACATATAACTATTTGTTTTCTGCATTATTTTGCAAATTGTCAATATTTATTTAAAATTTGCTTTCAAAATGTCAAAAGACTTTCGGCGCTTTTCGCTTTATCCAAACGAGTTATAGAATCCAAGCTTATTGTGTTCAATCGCACTTTGATGGTTAATTATATTTTTAATAAAATGGGCAAACTATTTCTGATAATGTTGTTTGTACATATAATTATTTGAGAAAAGACCAAATTGCTGTTATGCTTATTTTTTGTTAATTCTACATTTCTTCATTGAATTCATCACCGAATAGTCATAGACAATCGATAATAACAATAATTGACAATTTGTACGACTGCTGATCGACATGCTATTTTGAACAACACACCCTACCATAATTATTAGTAGGTACAATGCAGTTAATTCTATACGGTTGGATCTTCTTTGGGTAACGATTTGAGATTAGTATCGAATCGATCTTTTGCTTTTGAACTCACCTTTAAAATTACAAGTTCCGGTTTTAAATTCTACTGCACAGCACGAGCCCGTAAAAGCGGTCCCTCTGAGCTCTTTCGGCAGGTGAGCGATGGCAATGGCAGCTGCAACAATATAATATTTCAATAAGAAACAAACCAAAGAAAAAGTGCACCTTATCTACCGTTTTTTTATCATACCAAAATTTTAAAATAATTAATGAACGATTTCATAATCTCGATTTCGTTGACTTATGTGCTTAGAACAAGATCTCTTCGCATTGCTTAAATTTTGAAAACCATTTAAAATATTTGGAGTTCAAGACCCCGAAATTTAATAATGGAAACAAACCTTTGAATATTAAGGAATTTTGACTCATTTTCCTAAATCTACCCACCTACATTGTCGTTTCAAATATGGACTTGACTAACGCGACAATAACATAATTAAATTTCCATATAAGGGTTTATATGAGCTGAAATTCTATAGAAAACTGGATGGAAGGCTGCATGAGCTAAGATACTATTTTGAAAACAATACATTCATTTACCACACCCCCGTTCAGAGCTTTAGAGCTTACTACATTCATAAGCGGGTTTCTTCTCGTGTAATTCTTCTCACCGATGCTTATATTAATAATTTCATATATATTTGATTCCTTATTTTGTTGTTTAATGCAAAATGTAAGCATTCTTCAGTGCTCGGATTACACGAGTTTAGAGGGTTTTCAGAGAATGCAGCCAGCGTAAGAGTTTCTTTGCTTGGTGTTATATAAAAGATTGAGTTTGCCAGTATTTAACAGTAAAACGTTAAGGAAAAAATCATTTTTTTCTGTTTAGAGACAGTGTTGTTTAGAAATATTGACCTAAATGTGAAGAAACTCCAGTTTCTAAAAGTTTTCCAAATAAATGATTATAAATTTTTCGCTTTTTTCAGTTCGGTGAAATTTTTTGGAAAAAGACCCAGAAATAATTATTAAGGTTTTGTCCATAACTCGAAGCTGCAAAAAGTTCTGTAAACATTTTTGCTAAGCGGTTAAGGAGAGTGTTCCAATAAAATTTATTTTTAATTTTTCACAGAAAAGATTGTCAGTATTTCAAGTAAAACTAAAAAATAATGCGATTTTTGCGTACAAAGAATTGCATAATAGAAACTTTGTTGTTTTTTTTTTGTTGAAATTTGTTGAAAAAAGACTGGAAAATTTAAAGGAACTTTAAAAATCGTCTGACCGATGAGGGGGGAATTTTCCAAATAATTTTTTGTAAACTTTTGCTCTCTGGTCGTTTATTCAAGAGATCCTAATCACTTTCGGTAAAAAACTGAATACAATTCTTTGGTTTTTGTGCCAAATGCGAAGCTGAAATGGGTTTTCTAAAGTTTCCTATAAACCGATCAATAAGGCGAATTTTCAAGCAAAATTAATTTTTGTTTGAAAAGACCCCATTATTGAAGAGAAGAAAGTCCTCAGAAAATATTGTTTTTTGCGTTTTCGATTACAAACTTTTAGTTTTGTGATCCGTTTCGGCGAAAACCTAAATTGTTTCCGAGGAAAAACGGGAGGAATTCATTTTTGTTTCTGTCCCGAATTCGACGCTGAAAAGTTTTTCTAAATTTTTACAAACCTATAAATTTTCTTTTCGAATTTATATTTTCGCGTAAAAGACCTCCGGATCGTAAGTATTATAAAGTGAAACTCTGCAAAATAGAGCGCTTTTGAGTAGAAAGTAAAGCAAAAAAAATCAGTCAAAACTAAAAAACCACATTTCTTTAACAAACTCTACAGTCTTCAGAGGTATGGATGTGACCAGATTTCCTAATAATGTGTTATAAACTTTCTTATTATGTTCGTTTTTTGATAGAAAATTATTTGATTTTTGTTACAAATTCGAACCTGGAAAGGGATTTCAAAACTTTTTATAAAGCGATGAAGGATTCGAAATGTATTTCATAATTTTTTGCGGAAAATACCTCACTGTCGTGAAACTTTAGAAAATTGAGCATTTAGAAGAAGGAGTAACTTGGCTAAAACTGGAAAATTCTGAAATTTGGAAGACATTTGCAAAATATTATTAATAAATGGTCCTTAAAATAAATCTAAAAACAAGTAAGAAAAGTCAGCAATATTTTCCCAGCAACGGAACTGAGTTATGAGAGGTGTTGGGTTGGTGCCCCAACCCAACGCCGGCGCATTTGCGTAGTACTGTGCCAACCCCTAAAAATTCATTGAGTTACCCAGGTGTAAAATACTAATTAATATCAAACAGACTCCGGCAACAAACAGAAGTCTTCAGTCATGTGTATATATTTTATTTTTGACTCAAATAACCTCAGTTTTATGCCGATGACTTATTTCATGATTAATGTGTAAAGTTTCTCCAAATATTTTTTTTTTGCCAATAATATTCAAATAAATTATAGCTATCGGCCTAAAAATTCAACAGCTAAATAAAGAAAAATAAATCACAATAACAAAATTGAGCTGTCCTAAAATCTAGACCAAGCGAATAATAACTTCAGTAGCCCACTTCTTTTGTTAGCTATTCAACTATTATTAAACATGTTCCGTTTTCCGCCAATATTACGTACATACATAAATTGGATTCCTAAGAAGCGTTCTAAAAACATTTTCATTGCAAAACAAAGCAAGAAACCAAGGATATTGTTTCTAAAATTATCGATGTGGGTGTTAGTCTAGTTACTTTCATATTTTATGTCTGAAAATAACTGAAAGGTAAGCTAATTATGAAATTGTTTAGAGACGCCCGCATTTTTGGAAGAGCCGAAATAAATAATGCAACTTTGGTAAATATGACACGTGATTTTACTTTTTCATTGATGAATAAAGCAAAGTAAAACTTCAATAAGAATTAGCAAAAAATTTTTGCTTATGAAACAGCCATATGTTTCTGTCTGGGGACGCAATTAATCATCGATATTATTGATTTTATAGCTTATGAACCATATTTATTTACCCAAACCAACAAAAAATTGTGGGTTTCTTAAACTCAATATGCAGTGGGTGGCATCATATAGGTAAATTATTATCAATCTACCTATCAGTAGTGAAAATCATGTTTATTAATAGTTTTGATACATTTTCCTTTATTTATTGCTTATTTCATTTTCCAGCACGCGTCAATAAGTAATTATAATTAATTAACGAAACGACACGTTTATTATAATTTTTTTGTAGTGAATGTCGATGACTCAGCATGCAGTTTTGAGTGATGATAACATAGGTACAAGAAGGCTCAATTTATTGCAAGAATTTGAATAAAACTATGCATATAAATAAGTTATAGAAGTGTAACGGAATAAATCATTGTACACCAAATGTACAAATTTCATCCAGATCCCAAGCCAATATTTTTGAAGGCGTTGATTTTTCTTATTTTGCCAGGGAGAAATAAGTGAAAATAGGTGTTCCAAGAAAACAGATAATAAAAAATCGTCTGATTTTAATTTTTTTTGCGGAAATAATTGAAGACAATCGAGAACATATAATAAAAAGTGGGTTCACTAGAGCATGACGGAACACTGAATTACGATTTCACATTCTCCCACACCAAAGCACATTTAAAGTTATCAGTGTGAGTGCGACATAAAGCGGCTTTTAATAATCACCGGTAAATACCGATATGTCGGTTATCGTCTGGCAGATAAGCTGGCTAAAGAAACGGCACTGTATGCAAGCTTGGTTGTTGAAGAGAAGAATTACATTTCCGGCAGGCGTTTTTGTTTTTTTTAAGCGATTGATAACCACTTTTAGCCCATACAAATGATTCATATGGTTGGCCTGAACGTTGAATGTACTGAATGTTAACTTGAAACGTTTGCAATCTTTTTTTTCACGACGATTGCCAAGACAAAAAACGAAAAAAGAAAAAAAACCAACGCGGTTTCAACGTGATTTGACTAAATGTATTTTTCTCTGGTTAGAAAAAATCACATTTCTATTTCTACTCCATAATAAGAATCACATTTAGTGCAAAATTGAAATGTCTTAGTTGAGATCTTCAGAGTAGGATCTCACTAAGCCTAACTAGGTTGAGGATTAAGAATAATTTTCCGGTTTTTTTTCGGACTGATAAATAAGCATAACGTAAAACACACACACAATAAATTAGTGAATTATTTTTAATTTAATGTGTCAATACAGTTTCAAACTTGGAAATAATACATTTTTGTGTAGCCTCTAATAACAGTTAATACATCCATAATACCTAACAGTACTTAGCCAGGATTAGTCGGAAATTTGCAACTAACAATTAAAAATGATTTCGTTAAGTCCGAATAACTTTTCTGAGCTGCTCTGACTGCTCATCTCACAATCTGGGTATGGGTTGGTGATTTAACAATGACCATTTAACGCTGATTGTATCCAAATTTGGAATAAATTTTACTGTTTCAATTATTAAATTTCGTTAAATATTTTGTCTTTCCTGATTTGATTTCAGCATTCAATTACACATCTTCGTGTCAAGTAACTAAACTTTGAAAGGCAACTTTGAAGAAAAGCTTTTTCTAGTAGAGTAAATTTTTCTAAAGTTTATACAATCATTTGCGATTTTCGGGCGAGTAAGAGAGTCCATGTACGATAATTCGTGCATTCAAAAATGTATTGAACTGGGGGAAAATATTTTGTGTATCTTTTCTAAGTAATACCTATTGTTTCTTTAACTAATGAACTTAATTGAGTAACTTATTAATTATACACTTATTATGAATGGCTTGCCAAATGTGAAGGTAGAAACAACCATACATACAAACTGATGGTGGAGAAAAACACCGAAACGTTTTTATAACATTTTAAATGGTAAACAATAAAATTGATTGGAACCCAGGAATTTCTTTTGAATTAAGTTGAAATACAGTCAGGCAAATATACACAGTAACTTATTAAGCCAATATTGGTGTCATTATTAGTGAATTACCAGTTTCAATCCAGGCCAAACTTTTGTTTCATTTTCTTCTCACTAAACAGTTTTTCTTCATTTATAACACAATGTTCTCGCTTTTTCTATTGAAAAGGAAAATCTGCGCGTAAGCTGATAAGAAACAAAAGATAATTTTTGTTATGAATTTAATTATATTACTTCCTGTAAAAAAGTTGAAAACTTAATTTTCTTACATTTAAAATTTAAATATCCGTGCTTAAATATGTTTTCATTTCTTTTTGCATATATTTTTTTACATATACGTAGTAATGATAACACAGTAATTTTAGCTACTGCCAGATTTTTTTTATTCAACATAATCTTTGAGACAATGACATACCGTGTTTTTCCTCGAATCTTACTTAATTGCTCGAATATTAATTAATCGAATAGTTTCTCTTATAAAAATAAAGATTGATAAAGAAATGACTAGATTTAGAAAGTTTTTTGATTTTAAAAAGTCTAGAGGAGGGAAAATAAAATGAAATGAGTCGTTCAACCTTCTCCATACACTTCATACTGGGCAAAAAATATATCTTCTAGAAACCGAACTTTAATCATTTTCACGACAATCGTTCGTCAGGCTAGGCTTTGTTTTACTACTATGCATAATTGCAAAGTGCTGAATGTGCTGCTGAGTTTTGTTCCTGGTAATTCCGTGCATTGCTCGAGCGATGCCACAACGTACCAAAGTGCTATTCGTCAGATTAACTCGCACATAAATTGCGCCTGGGTAGATTCTTGCATTAAGAATAAAACAGAAACGTTGGCAAAACATTCCAACATTTAATATTCAAGTAATTCGCACTAACCAACGGGAAATAAACTAAACATTGAAATTGAGAAAATGTGTATTGGAAAAATAATTGCTCTGCTCAAAAGTTAATTTTCTAATCAATTTGAAAAGCATATTATGCACCAAAAGAATTAAAAAACGACATCCCACCGTACAACTATGCCTGGTGTCATTCGGAAACGTTTGGGTATTCTAAATGGGTGTATTATCATTGTTTGAGTATTCATATTGAGAAAATTAGGTCCAACAAACAGATCACGTGACTGGTTTTTGCGGTGGTCGACAAAAAGTTGTGCTCCCACAAGATCAGAAAATGATTAGCATCAACACAAGATTTTAAATCATGTCCGATTTTTATGTATTTAACCATCTCATTACTCCTCTTTGCTTAAAAATGAGGATACAGTTATTTCTTGTTATACATATAGCCAAATAGAATTTTCATATAAATCATGTTTTCTGTTGCAGGCAGCTTCAGGCAGCATGAGGTAAGGAGGCGAGAATGGCAAATTTTACGGTAAGATTATCTTTTCATAATTTTTCCTCAGATTATCCTCGCCAGTTTAATTAAGCTGTGCAGACTGATTATGATTTTGTGACATTTATGAGGCCGAATGTTCATTAGTTTTGATTCGCCTGTAAAATGAACTTAACTTTACTGAAAAGCTAAACAATTACACCACTTAACTTTACTAAACGTAGAAAGCAAGTTAGAGCCAAATAAAAGGCCTCGATATGTCGTATACAAAAATTAATATCAATTTAAGGTTACAACCGGACGCAATATTTTTAAGGTTTGCACGTATTATACCATTAAAGAGTTTAATGAGAAAACTACAACTATCCCCTATCATTTAAGGAAAAAGTGTACGTTCTGGTCGAGTACGGTTTGATCCATAAAGCTCTACTAATCCGTGTTCTCAACATATTTCCTGCGATTGCACGAACTCCTTGAACAGTAAACTTATTTGTGAAGAGGCGACTTTTAGTCGGATATTCTTTTCTTGCAATCGTCTGCCAATATTTGGACATTCTTCGCATTGATGCAGACTCAATGGATTTGAAATCTCTGGATATCGATGCCTCAACATTCTTTTGCAAGCTCAACTCAAAGGCCCATCGATTTTCGTGCATGTCCCCCCTCTTTCGCAGATTAGAGGATCTTTGTCTTGCTGAAAGCGCATTGAGGCCATTGGGCGACGTCCGCCTCGACGCTCCAAAAATAGACCGGCGCGTCGTTACGTCATCGCGGGCACCAGACGCATACGTAACCGCTATTTTATCGCTTCCTTGGAGAAGGAATGCGACCAAAGGACGAGTCGCAGACGATGCCAAAGAAGTGTCATCGTCGTATCTATCGGATGTTTTGTCTGTATCCAAATAAATAGGTAATGTTAAGTGTGTCATTGGCTCGTTCCGTTCGCTTTCTGACTAATCGGAAACTAAATTTAGTTTTGCATTCCGCTTTCAAAATATCATAGGTTTGGCAATTTTTCATACTCATTCTCTCAAATAATGACTCTTTGGAGCTCCTACACCCGTTTCCAATTCAGTTTTTCCAGCTTTGCATTTATATTTACTACTGAATTTCAGATGAAATTATTTCTTATCTACTTTAGTTTTTTTCTGGCTGCAGAATTGACCTTTTACAACACTAGTTGCTTAAATGAATACCTATTGAATACTTCCATACTCAAAGTAAATACTACAGTATTTCCATATTCAAAGAAATTTTATTTTAGGAGGAATTTAATATTATTTAAAGATAAATACAAACAAAAACAGAACATACATTTTGTTGCCATATACAAGGTGCTTCTTTATAAGTTGACACCTTCTAGTAGATCATTTGTCCCAAAAAATATTATTATTTTTTATTTTTTTTCTCATCAAGATTAGAAATACTCGACTGAAATTCAAGTCGAAACACTCGCTTCAATTTAAGCAATTGTCTTATTCTTACCATGAACAATGCAATTTTCTGCAATGATTCTGTGTTCATCCCCAAAGACGCGTTCCATATACAGATAAATTTAAGAATACAGAAAAACGATCTGACGAACCGCAAACTATAGTAGAAAAAAGGGAAGCACATTTCGTAATGAAGATTAAATATTGTATTCCCAACATTTGTCCAAAAGCGTTTTTTAACCGAAAATGTAGAAGTCTGGACCGGACGAGCGCTGGTAGCCCCGACTTAAGGCATCTTGATTCTTTTCTCTGAAGTAATTTAATGTATATTGTTTATGAAAAATCAGTTACAAATGTTGATGATTTACACCTTGGAATAGTGGATACAATTAACAATATTAATACGAATTAAAACCAATATATTCAAAACGTTTTAGATAAAATTGAAAGTCGTTTTAGACAATGAATAGAGCTAAATGGAGATCATATAGAGAATCACTGATTTTAATCTTATTGTTTTTATTTATTTTCCTTTAATATACGGTAGCAATAAATTTCGTTATTTTCTCGATAATTTTTGTTTGCCTGTTTGTTGTATTTCAAGGCAAGGTGATTTTTAAAACGTTAAGAAACTTAGTAAATGTAGTCAATATAAAATCATGAAAATAAATCCTATCGATCTGCCTAAAAATGCATATGGTGTTCCATTTAGAGAAAGTGACTTTATGGCAAAGTTTGCCATTGGTGTTTTGTTTTCTTACTTAAATTAAGATTTGAAAATACCTTTATTTTATATTTAATGCCGGAGTGGAAACACCAGAGTAAGAACCATACTCGAATAATACGCGTTCAAAAAAAGGTTTCAAAGGGCATAAATTTGATTTTTTTCATCGAAATAATGAAAAACTATCGATGATTTTTCGTTAAATAGCTGAATCGTCATGTAATTGTTCGAATTTGTTTCATGGAAACGCGTAATTATAATTTGTTTCTGTCTGTATTGAAAGTCAGATTTACAATTTTTACTTTTAATCATTTTTGTGTATTTTTTTTTTCGAGGAATCTGTTGCCTCCAAAAAACAGTGAATTAACTTGAACACAACTTGCTTATCAAACCGCATAACTATAAATTGGCAATCCTGTTATTTGCCAAAAGGTGATATTTGGGCAGTAAAAAGCAAAACTGATACTGTAMATAATAAATAAATTTAGGACAAGTTCAATCAATGTTGAATATAAAATGCGGTATATTTTTGCCCAGAATTCSAATCATTCGAACATGTGCYTACATGAATCTACATTTTAARTACAAAGAAAAACTAGTGAATAATTTTCAAGTAAAAAAGATAAAACTAGTGTTTAATGRCTTTCTGAAGAATGGCGAATTGACGAGATAAAGAATGAATGTGAATGAAAACAGATCCRGGATCCAATAGAAATAYGTAGAAACCGGCAGAAGTCTTCMAGTGAATTAGAACTACTAAGCAAAAAGTAATTTCAAAGAGTAATCAAACATTACGCAAAGAGAATTGAGATCAATCGATATTAAGAAACTTAATTAATTAATTTAAATAATTATAATAAGAAACGAAAACTCATCGATTAGAGTGTTATTTCATAAATATCCATATTATGGAATGATCTATAAACTAAGCTGCAGACTAACAAGAAAATAACTCAGAAGCACTAAAAGATTAGAGATAAAACGCCCATCTACATACTTGTATGAGAAGACTTTACATAATACTAAAGCTCAAGCCCTAATTGACTTTATAAAAGAACGAACGATCGACTGTAATCAATATCTAGAGTTTATTTAAAACCACTGAAGCCTTGAAAATTATTACAAACATATTTTTTTTTGTAAAATAGATTTAATTTATTAGTCGTTTATCTAATTTATATTTTCACTGATAACCATTCCAATTTTATTTCTGTGGGAAGCGTTTAGTGTATTTTAATTTCTCGAATACTTATCAAATTTTTATTTTATTTCAAGACAATGCAAACGACGAACAAACGAAAATCAGATTCTATTTCCATTATTAATTTGAAGAAAATACGTTTATTTTAATTAATCAAGAGAAATAACTAATAGCAAAATATCAATATGGTTGGTTTAGTACTACATATTCAATTTACAAAATATTGCATTTTAAATCAATATAATACTTCTCATAGCCGCATTATTTGCAAATAATTTTCTATTTCAGGGTAGCAATTCTGCCATAAGGTTAATATGCTAAATAGGTTTAATTGAAAAATGTTTTAACAAAAAATAAACATTGCCATAAACTCGGAGACTGCTAAAAACTGGAATCTAAAATTATTCTCAAATCAAAAAGTATTTTTGATCAATCTAGAGACTCTTTAAAACGATATTCGCGTTTAAATAGTCAATAGTAAATAGCACACCCATGTGCCTTTATTCAGTTCAATCAAGACGCGCAACATGAATAAAATCGAATAAAGCCAGACAAAAAGTATATATAACAATAGATGTATCAACTGTTTTATTATTGAGAGTTGAAAGTTCTGAAACAATGGAAGAAGTGAAACAGCCATGTCAAATAGAAAATGACAAAAGTTTGGTAACAGTTAAGTTGCACTGGTGGAAAGAACTTTACTTGAGAGTCTCATCGAGAATTGCAAAAGCAAAAAACGAAACATAAATGCCAATTAATACAAAGAAAACCACAAGCTTTGGGAAAGCAAATTTAACGTCACGAAGTGATCATTGCAAGAATTGGGGATCCGAGCTAAATCAATTTTTATACATTATATATGTATCCTTTAATATGAAATGGATACACCTTAGAAAGAATGAAAAACTTCATAACATAGGATATAATAGTTTAAAAGTATGTTAAATATCTGGAAAACTTGTTTAATTAGGTTTTTATGCCGTGTAATAATGAAATGTTGCATAAAGTTTGCTACGTGTTGAGGCCGGATGCCTCACTGGAAACGGGCTGAAACTATATGGAAATTTTCCTGAACTCGATAAAGATCACTTGTTTTTTAATAGGTACATGCAGTTCCTTTCACATGGCACATCGTTAACTCATTTGTTTAATAATGACTTTGCGCTTTTAAATAGGAACAGGGCATTTCTCATTTGCTAAAATTTCTGTGCCGAATCGCCCGGACCGCTGAGCCGTTAACCCCATCGGACAATACAAACGGTATTTGGGTTATAAATGATAATATCGTACGATCTTTGTTTAATGTTTGCTCTTTAATTACTTTAACTACTGTTAACCACCTGTACAAACCCACCATTAAGAATGGTAATCAGTCAAAATCTTGACATACCGGAACAACGATTAAACATGTGTTAGAGTTCCTCTTCTTCATTCATGCTTGAGGCTTGCTGATGGAAACTTTAAAACGCAGTCCAAAAAATGCGTGTCGCTCATGCAACTTCGTAAATAAAGGTTCTGTTCTTTTTCTTATTCGTAAAAATTGGGTTGATCTTTAACTTGAAGAAGTAAGTTAAGCTTAGGCCATTATGGTTCTTTCTCAAATTATACGATGTTTGATAGGAAATATAATGTAATAGTTCGTCTAGATGAACGTTATTGTATATAAAAATA